ATCATCTTATTTTAAATATTATAATAAAATCAACCCAAATCTGTATTTGACCAAGTTAATACAGAATATCTAAGAGCCTTGAAAATAATAAATTTAAAAATGCATATTAAAATTGAAACACGTACCTATAACTTACAAAATGTATTTTGCATAACGTTTGAATGCCACACCCAAACGTTATGCTGGTTATTGATATCCCTAACATATCACAGATTTGAGTGCAATATGTTACACTCAACTAAATGGCTGAACATGGCAAAGGATGTGGGAATAATTTATATGCCACACAGCTGACTGCCCGACTGTGACTTTGGGGCTGGCTCTGTTACGCATATTATTCACGTTTCCCAACTTATATCGGACAAAATTGTTGGGAGTTGTTGGAAATTACAACTAACCTCAACATTCTGTATGTGTAGTACCTGAATTTGCTTAACACAACTTTATGTCAGTGTAGTTTAGATAATTTAAGTTAAACTTGTGTTTAGAATTGGCGTATCAGCAAGATGTGATTTATAAATGTGTTTTATCATTTAAAAATAAACGTTGACATTAAGTAATATATGTATACATCTCTATTGGTATTATTCAGGCGTTGTTAGCCTATTTAGATTTATGATATTTCACTTCTAGTACCTTGGAAATGTATGTTATGTTTATATTACGGGGATAGAAAATGTCCTTTCTATGAAATTATTATTGTATTATTATATTATATATTATGCTGTCTTTATATTGATGTTGGAGAATTCAATGTGAAATAATATTGTTACCACCAGGATCTATTTGCGATCATAATATGATATTAGAACGGGTCACATCCCAAATTTAGTTTTGAATAATAAATGTTTAAGACATTTTATTAACAAAAACTAATATAAAAACTACACGAGAAAAAAAAATATTATTCAATTGTTATATGAAGGTGTCAAAACTTCTTAACAAATTAAATTTATATGTTTCTATGTAATTTATACTTCAAGTATGTAACAAAATAGCTCTTGAATTATTTTTAGTATGTTTTAAACTTTAGGGACGAATCGCTTTTTTAAAAACAACGTTAATATAGTTACAACTGAATTCCTTTGCTATCTTATCAAGAGTGTGAAATAACTAAATCAAATAGTAGCTAATAGACAGAACTTAAATGATCTAGTATTTAAATTAAAACTAATCATACTTTTTCATGGAATAAGATATATAGTTTTGCTTCAATTTAAATAGTGTAAGCTGTACTGAAGCATGTAAATAATAAAAAAAAAAATAATAATAATCTGGTAATGTCAAATCAATAAATTTACCACATATTTGTTTGGTGGAAATTAGTTTCAACCTTACCAAAGCAAACTAACGCTATAATCACAAGGGAGAAGTACATGTTACCAACAGTTTAGAATGTATTGTGAGATTCTGCAGGAGTTTGGCACTGTAGAGCCCTCAATTTTGGCCACCAGCCAAAACTCAGCCCTTGACAAGCCTCTATTCCTACCGCAGTGCTACCACCCAACCCTACAAAACGCCATCTCCAAGTAAAGTCTTATTCCATAACCTCTTACATTGGAAGTAATACATTCATATCGTGTTTGCAAATCTATGTTGGTAGAAGTGTATTTTTGCATCTGCAACCGGATAAGACAAAAACATATTAAACATAATTAGGGCCAACTTTAAATCTGCTACAAAAACATATTGTTTGGTTATTAGTTATACAACTTTACATCTTTATTATTATATCATATTTTTTTAAATAAGTGAATTATACCCTTAATATTGGTTTTACATTATTGTGAAATTAAACAAATTTCTTCAACGATCGTCAAAACAATGTGAATAATTTTATTTTGCATGAAAAAAAAAACTATTGTCATAAGTTTAACGTAGCACCGTTTAAAATGAAATATCAGATACGTAAGTAATTTCAATTAAAAAAAGAAGCAGAAAAGGTTCAGTTATTTATAGAAGGATTTCCTAACGTTCAATAGCAATGTGGCATTAGAATCTAGAAGATTTAATTGCCACATTTTAAATATACTCCAAACGTAAGAGTGTGCTTAATGGGATTTGTTTTCTCTATAGTTTAGAATTCGATACTTGTTGCATATCACATAAGTAGCCCAATGTTTAAATTACGATTATAGAACAGTAATAAGACATGTAATATTAATTCGTATCATTGACTATTGGGTAGGTACTGAAGTAGACTTCCCATCTATATAAACCAGCTGTAGCCAATTTTTCATTAAAAAAGAACGTAGTTGTGAGAACCAGTCATAGAATGTGCAAGTGACTAAAAATCTCTATTTTATACCTTTTTTACCAGGTTGATTAATCGACAACGAAAACAGTCATATTTAAAGTTAAGCTCAACACACATTAAAAGAGCAAAAGCTAAGGTTGGAGAAGGCTAAAATTAATTACTTGTTAAAAAACTAATTCAGGAAAAAATCTTTTTAAACATACATAAACTTCAATAATCTTATGAATTGATTTAGAACAACGTGTACATGTACTAGAAAAAAGACATGCCTATAAGTTAATGACATAAATTCGAATGAACAATCTTGTTTTTTTTTACAATTGTATGTTAGTGATCAACGATATTGAAGATGAATGTAAAATAATTATTGGCTTTCCGTCTCCAAGAACGTGACGTCACGCCCAGCTGTACAGGAAGTGATACAAGGACATCCGTATCAGCAGAGCAACACCGGAAATGCTACAGGGACTTCCGGTTCGACGGCTTCAATTCCGTAGTGCATTGCAGTGTTTTGTTTGGCTGCAAGCAGTGCGGAAGTGAGGTTGCCGTACCACTACCTCCTGAATCACGTAGACGAGAAACTTTGATTGTCAATTTAAAGTTTAACTGTAGGAAATAGAACTATCTAAAGTAATTTGCCAAGACTTTATCCAATTGTTGGTTAAAATTGGTTTTACTAAAATCTTCTCTTATTTTTAAGTAGGTAGGTTTAAGCCCAGGATAGAATACGATCGTATGATATTGCATATGTAGAAGTTAATTAGATGTGTAATGTTTAGATTAAAGTGATCCATACAAATATAATGTTACACAAGAAATGCATTCACAGTTGAGGTATCAAAGTGGAGTATGTGTATTAACTTTTATGAACTAATATTGTACTTACTGCGGTATATTGTTTTGTTATTTTATATTTGTTCGACTTTATCTGCTAGTCTACCTATGTAAATGTTGTGTATATTAGTTGGAAAACTTTTAAACACGACGGCATTGACCAATAATGCAATTTTTAATTACACTTATATCTTGCTTGACAAATGATTCTTTGTGGTAAAAACTTTCTCTGTGAATATACCATTTTTGAGTATTAAAATATCTACGATACAGTATTGAAATGATCTCGTTGCACTTTTTTTACGCAAGTTAAAAAGTTCAACGTGAAAATAAAGTTTTTGTGGATGTGCCAGGAATTGGACCTTCCTGCACCGAAGTCCGAGGAGATTCAACATAATATTATCTAAATTTTATTCAAAATTTATAATACTAATCGTTTGGCTTGATTGATAAAAATAGGTACGAAATTGGTTGAACCTGGAATCAAATATTTCAAGCTGTTCATCTTTCTCGTAACTGGATCATAATCCCCCCCCCCCCTCTACGAACTTATATTTAGGCAAAAACATGAACGTTGATTTTGGAATACAATTTTAGTAATTTTTGCTTCTTAATCTTATACGTATAATTTTTTGTAGTTCATTTTTATGTATAATTTTTCGTAAACCAGTATTTCTGCTTTTTTTCTCCAGTCTATATATCCCCAGTATTCCTTTGTAATTTAAAGCCTTTTTATATCTAATGAATACATAGCTCATTTATTTACCATGCAAAAAATATTTACCCCTATGATTAATTGTATTCCCACATAATACATATTTAAATGTTAACTGAAAGATCATCTTATTAACTAAATATAAATAAATCTCTTTAATGGCAAAGTAATGAAACACCTTCATTGTCATACAGTTAAGGAGCTTAAGTTGCGAAACACATAACAGCTTCTCTGATTTCCGACTGTTCATTTTCATATTAGTGCAAAGTTTTAATTAGACTTGTCACCGTTATGCAGAGTTTATAACAGTATTAAATTCATCAATTAAATGTTATTAGATTACTCATATATCTCATTTCTCCCTTTGTTATGATGTAAGATTATTGAATAGTTTTCTAGTTAGTTTCATACTTAATAAAATAAAACTAAATAAATAAATTTACAAATTTAATAATTAGAATAATCACTTGATAAATGTATCGTATTATCAATATATATACTAACTTATGGGTTGAGTAGTATATTTTATCTACAAGTTTCCATTATACCTTTGACTATCAATACAACTTCTGTATCTAATAGTCAATGGTTGTACTTAAACCTAAAAGCTACTGGGTTTTACTATACAAACTAAGAAGTTAACAATTACGTATACAAATTGTCTACAATTTTACATTATAGAAGGTTTTTTTCGTATCTAATAGTTATAAATAAATAAAATTAAGCAATATCAGGTGTAATATTGATTTTTGGCAAATATGAGAGGATTTTAATTATCACAAGTGTTTCCTTCTGTTTACATCACAATCTCTTTGGAATGACTGAAGACAATATATTAACAAATATATATTATGTTTACATGGGACAATAGTCCAACACATTTTCCCTCCGATTTCGTTTACATTTTTCAATTAAAAACATATTACACCTATTCATTGTAACAATTGTAATGTGTCAATTCATTGTAAACATGTCAAGTAGTATAAAAACACTGTATTAATCTTTACCACCTAGCATGAAAAAAACGTTTTGTTAAATATTGTTTTAGCAAATTTGTCTTCAAATTTGTACATTGGATGAGGGATCTTCTCTGTGTATGGTCAATGATAGTCCTCTACATTCCACAAGAACATTTATTTATATTTTGTTTGAAGATAAAGGGTTAAGAGTCTCTAAACTTTTAGTTTTTTTCAGGGGTAGTCAGTGACCATCACCAAGGCCCTCTGCCCACTCTTCTATACATTCACGGGGAGAGCTTTGAGTGGAACTCTGGTAACCCATACGACGGCAGTGTCCTAGCCAGCTACGGTCATATCATCGTAGTCACCATCAACTACAGGCTAGGGATACTAGGTATACACAGTAAATACATGTATTAGTACAGGGTCATAAGTCAGTCGATTTGTAGGTCAAAGCCTACTTCCTTTGCAGCTTATTATATTTTTATCCTGATCGAAATTAAATAAATGTCGTATGATGGAGATTGGTTGTACAATTAATTGAGATGCTGTCCAAAAGGGAGACGATACTCTTATTATAGTATCGACAACCATAAGTAAGTATGAGGGTGTAACGCTTACCAAAATAAGTAAAAGATATCTAGTGACAAATGTGTGTGACATCCTGAAGAGTATAATGTACATATTGAATTAAAGTATACCGATGTTATAAGTTAACTATTAATTACCTTTGTGTCAGTAAAACAGCATTACAATAACGCTTAAACGTAGTTTTCAATATATTATGTATAAGCATAAGACCTAATATAATATTTCATGAAATAAGACACCTGGTATTAAAATCAGCTGTCAGTGGTATTTAAACGTTATCACAAGTAGAGGAGATGAAAGGTTAATTGCATAGTGCTTTCATAAAAAAAAATACAATTCTTCATACAGCACTCCTCTTTTTATACTAATCAACATTTCAAAATAGAAAATGCTGGGTTTGCATAGCTCACAGAAATTTAGGATAGAATATAAAGTACTGTAGTTTTGGTTTCTACTATAAAAATATATTTTATAGTTTCAATACTATGGAAATGTTTAAGATTAAATATTTTAAAGTTAAAATAGGTTTTCCTTCCTATAAACATTTCAGATATGGCTATAATTATCATATCTGAAATGTTCAATAAAATAAGTAACATATGACAAATTTTGAACTAAACTTAATAGAATATTAAAACATCAAATATGAAATAGTTGAGTGCTGTAAGTGAGTTATATAGAAATGTATGCCATGTAATAATACATAAAATAAAACCTATAATGCATGAAATCGGAAATTAATCAACTAATACAGTTTCCCAAGAATTCATTCAGTAATCCATTTACGATCATAACAGCTAGTCATTTCATCAACCTAATTGGCATTTCTATAATCTAATTTTACATTATTAATATATATTTGTATGAAATAGTTTGTTTATTAGGTTTTAAATAATTTATTGTGTGACTATTAATTCAAAACCCATAGCATTTTATTACCAAGCTTAATGTAAATTCAGCACTATACATTTAATTAAAAAGACCATGATACACGTTTCAGATTAAAATATGAAATATTGACCAGCAATATTAACAAATATATAAAAATATTGATGATTGGACTAGGTAGTTACAATAAATACTACGTTATCATGAACTTTCTATGAATATTATAAAGCGTACTCAATATAAATTCATAAGAGATCAGCAGGATAAGATAACCTCTCAAACATAATTACAAATTAATAAACGGAAAGTATACCAAGTAATTAGAATACCTCATGTAGTAGTGTCTGCAACCTCAATTGAAATATATTTTGCATTTTTTTTAACCAAGCGAAACAAACAAGAACCTTAAGAGCCCATTTTAGAACAGAATTTTCTTCATGAGTTAAAAGCTTGCATATCAATTTCCTTTTAGGAAAAATATTGAGTAAGTAAGTTGATGGTATGAAGAAAAATCATTGTGCTATACTTAATTATATGGATATGGATAATTATACTTAATTTTATGGATGGGTGTTTTAGCAAAGCAACGCTTATTAAAGGGTTCTTTTTCCCTTTCCTTTATATTCTAATAAAACCGAATATTAAATTTAAGAATCTGTATCTGTATACATGCATTTGACACAAATCTATATATTTCAAAGGATTTCTGAAGACCGGATCAAGAGGTAGTGCACAAGGAAACTTTGGACTGATGGATTTGGTGGCGGGGCTTCATTGGCTGAGGGAGAACCTGCCATCCTTCGGGGGAGATCCTGAAAGTATTACTGTTATGGGCCATGGTACTGGAGCGGCATTGGCTAACTACATAGCAGTGTCACCAGTTGCCAAAGGTAAGTGAACTAACTATATGTTCAATTCACTATGTATTTTTGATTCACCTTACCTCCTATTGTAACTAATGTAGCCTATACTGTAATTAAGTAAAGTGTTTGACAGCAGACCAATATTTTTTTAGTTTAGGCGTTCAGTAATCCTTTAATAACCTTTTATCTGTGGTAATGCGAGGGGTTATTTAAGTGTCCATAATGTGGTGATGGCAATTAATTATCTCTTTAAAGTAGTTTGTGTTGGTAATGATAAAACAAATGTGTATGAAGTACACTTGAGCATGTAAAAGTTTATGAATTATTTTCCAATGATAGAATATACAACAAAATTCAGGATTCAACAACAAAACTGTGCGAAAAATTGTTATCAACCCAAAAAATAGCGTAAATGAATGTTACAAAAATAAATAAAAATCTTCAAAATTTGGTTAGGCTTAAATTGTTTTTATGCAGTCAATTTTACTTTAATATTCTACTATACGAAAAAAAATCACGTCCCTGGTTTCTCCGTTCCAGAACTACTACACAGGGTAGTGCTGTTTAGCGGGTCCGGCATGTCTCCTTGGGCGTTACAACGGGAGCCTCTGGCCGTCAAGAGGAAGGTGGCAGAACAGACGGGTTGCCACGGGGACCTGGTAGAAGACGACCTAGCGCCGTGCTTGAGGACCAAGACCCTCCAAGAGCTACTGGCGGTCAGGGTCGACCCGCCCAGGTTCCTACCGGGCTTCGCCCCCTTTGTGGACGGTGCAGTGCTCGTCAACGGCCCTACAGTTGGAGGTGCGGCTCTGTCGGATTTGAGTGTGGAGAAACGTGGTAGTGGATTTGAACTCGCAGACTTCCCCGATAGGGAACTCCTGTTTGGGCTTACAACGACAGAGTCCTACCTAGACTTAAGCGCGCAGGACTTGGAGTTCGGTTTTAACGAGACCAGGCGCGACAGAATATTAAGGACTTATGTGAGAAACGCTTACTTTTTTCACCTTAACGAAATTTTTTCTACTTTAAAAAATGAGTATACAGACTGGGAGAGGGCGAGCGGGAACCCGTTGAGTGTGAGAGACGCAACACTAGAGGTGTTGAGTGATGGACACACGGCGGCCCCTGTGATACGACTAGGGTATCTACATACTGTGAGGGGTGGAAAGACGTTCTTTCTACACTTCAGACACCAGTCCTCGCTCACCGACTTTCCACAGGTAGGCTGAAAATGTTAAATGGGGCAACACTTAATTACAACTAAAAATATAAAATATTTTTTTGGAAAAAAATAACCTCTAAATAGAGATTCTAATAAGAATTGGTGTAAATACCTGTTTCGATGTAATACAAGTTGTTGATTGTGTCGCAACTAGTTTTAACTGTAAACTTGTTCAACTAGTGGCATTAGCTACAATTTGGATTACCTTATTAGTTTCTTTCACCAATTATATTCAACGTAACTGGAGGCTAACATAAAAATGAAATGAGCTTATTACTAAAATACATAGTAAATGTACATCTAAGCTTTTTGTTAAAGACTCAACGGAAATAAATGTATTATGAATAAATGTAAGTTATAAGTTAAACTAAAATAGTTTAACTTTATCTTCTGCTTTTTTACTAAATTCATTGAGCAATGTCAGCAATAGATAAGTAATTATTAGAATGTAGTTAGTTGTTGTAAGTGATTTTAACATGTCAAATGTGCTTTCTGTAAGGTCATCCTTCGTTTATGTGTGTATTTATACAGGAAAAGAATAAAACCAAACAACAGTAACAACAAAGGTACTTAATTTTTGTGTTGTTGTTGACAGAGAACGGGTAGTGTGAGGGGTGAAGATGTGCCTTATGTACTCGGACTGCCTCTGGTTGGTGGCCAACCGTTTTTCCCTCACAACTATTCCAGTGAAGACGGTGCCATCTCCAAAAAGCTCATCCATTATCTTTCAAATTTTGTAAGAAGAGGGTAAGGAAAAACTACAATAATTTAGCAATTGTGGAGTGTTAAAAACTTCTGTAATGGTGAACCAGATATATTTTAGATCCAAGACTGTTTCAAAATCAAAAATAACAAAGTAAATAAAAAAAGCTCAAGTAAATGCTTTGATTGATTTCGTTAGATCACCTCACAAAGCTATCGAACTTGCACGCTCACATTGCCAACTAAATTGTTTCTCTCCTGTATAGATCAGTCCAAATATTACATTAAACCATATTGGACCAAAACAGTGTTACAATAATAATAAACATTGATCTAACGTTTTAAAATTTTTAAAATTGCTAAATAATGAGATATTTGAGGATAGTAAAAGTTTTTTTTTTATATTTTTCTCTGTTGTTATTACAATTTGAAATAGAAGTAAATTGAAAGTGTTAAGTGACATACATTTTAAACATGTAAATATCAAATAATTGTTATTACAAAACAGTTAATAACATAGGTTATATGATTAGTCAATGTGAGTATTTAAAAGCACTTGAATATTAAGTTTGAAAAAGAACAGCCTTAGAGTACTTTAAAACACAGTACTTAAGTTTTCACGTAATAGATTACTAAACACAACTAATACTGGTATGGTTAATCTTAACTGAACTCAAGTTAACGGTAAAATTCAGGAATTAGAGCTATTTTTTTAGTTCTTGGTGTTTTATAACATTAATAAATAGTTATCGTCTCAGAAATACTAAATTGTTATTGATTTTTTATTAAAATATAACAATTGTCTTCTAAAATTATCTCTCAAATTGTTATAACACACTAGGAAGATGATAGAGAATGCTAACTTAAAAGGTTTTAAGACTTTAATTCAGTCTGTGTCATTTTAACCATAATCAATTGAAGTATGTGTTTCACTTAATTTAGGATTAAACCATATGCTGTTTACGAGCGGAGCCATGTGGTTTGTCCATGATTATATATATATACACATTTAAATTATAATTTACACAATCGGATGGATTTCTTTCAATGACATGCTAACATAAATGTGCATCTGAACTCAAACACAACATTTTTTTTTTTTATAAAGAGAAAATCTAGATTAATTTTTTTTTCAAAATGGCTTAGTTCACCAGATATCCACCATTTTGACATAGTCAACTGACCATTATTAAACATATAATGTACGTTAAGATAGAAGAGACCCATGTTAGAAAAAATAATCCTACTTTATTCGTCTTAAGATTCTAAAATGGCGGCCATTTAAACTCTTTAAAAATATATATTACAAAGGCATGGCTGATTTTATGAAACCATGTCTTGAACACTTTTATTTGGCATTTCTAATTTCCTATCCAAAGATACCAAGTCCAAAAAGAACAAATGAGGAATAGCTGAAATATTAAGATTTTTATTTGTAAAATATGGCAAACTTGACTAGGTTAGTCTTTTTTACCCCATTTTACAATAAAAAAATCTTAATATTACAGCTATTTTTAATTTCATCTTTTTGAACTTTGTATCGTTTGATGGGGCATAAAAATTCTAAATAAAAGTGTTCCTGACATCATTTTATAAAATCAGCCATTTCTAAGTCATTTCAGTAAAAAAATCTAAACGGCTGCTATTTTGAAATCTTAACATGAATTTAAGATTTTTTTCTTACACGGGTCTCTTTTATTTTAACATACGTACCAAGTTTCATAATGGTCAGTTGAAAAACTGTAAAGTTAAAAATGTTAAATTAAAAAACAATATGGTGGATATCTGGTTAACTAAGCGATAAAAAAAAAAATGTCTTTGCATTTCCCTTTATTTTGACCCATGGAACCATTTCCTGGAGTTTGGATGTTTACTTACGGAGCACCCTGTATATTTTACCCGGTGGTTAAATATTGTCATTCGTTTCAGTGATCCAAACGGCGCGGATAGCAACAGCAAACGCGTTGAAGAGGACACTCCATTCTGGGACTCATATGACTCAATCAATCAACTTTATCTGGAGTTAGGTAAGCCAACGTCGAGCTACGAGCTAGGAATGTTTATCACGTCATTCACAAGTTTCGATCACAACTTTGTTTACCAATCCCCAGAGGGTCCTAGTTAAACATTATTAAAACTTGTGCACGTTCGCCATGGTAGTTAGAGTCTACTGCCTATTGGGAACACGTATTCAATTATATAGCAAATCTAGGTAGTTTTAGTATTTTTAATTATCTCAAGTTATAAATTTGGGCCATGTTGACTATTGATTATGTTTTCAAGATAATTAAAAGTTGAGTTGAATGACTTATTATGGTTTACATAATCTAGCTGTTACCCACGGGTTTCACTTCAATAAGTATTAATACTGTACAACTATTGATTGGGTAAGTTAAGCTAAAAAAAAAAACAAAATAGAATAACAAAAAAGAACAGCTGAGGCATTTTTTAACATTAGGTATATGGAAAGATCCCTTTAGAATTATGACCTTATAGGGCAATTTATTAAATAATGGATAGTGTTGCACAAGGTTTCTCGTCATGACGAACATTTTAAGTATATGGTTTATGGGGATGTGACTTGTATTTTTTAAAGGTTCATGGGTATTTTTGAATTTATATAAGGATTCAGTTATAATTTATATTGAATTTGTATGATTTTTTCATTATTTATGGTAGGGGTGGGGATTTAAGTACCGATTACATTTATGGATGTTTCCAATTTATGTTAACTATCTAGGTACAATAGTTTTATACTTTAATTAATAAACCACTTGTTATGTATTATTAACAAATTTGTGTAATGCAAAAACGTTGTGTAATGTTTTTGTATCCCCATTTCTCGTGAGCAAATCATAACCATCCATCAAGAACAATATCCAGTTTAATTGAACATTTTTAACGAACTTGATCTCACAGTATGAAATCGGAAGCTATATAATAGTATAAAATGAAATAGTAAAACATGAACCTTTACGTGATGAGGGTGTAATTATATCTATTAAACAGCATAAGATAATAATCCAGACTATATGTAAGAGTATTGTTGCAATCTCCTAAAAATCACAATCAAACGAGAATTTAAACGAACAAAGATATTCTTTTACAAACATAGGTTTAGAAAGCCAGGAATTCGTTAGGTTTGCTGTATACGGATTGTTAGAATCTCAAGCAGACATTTTAGCAGTATTTAATTCATATTATTATCAACATTAGTTTAGTACGATGGATTGTTACATCCATACACTATTTGGTGCAATTTTCCTTTTTTATTTTATCAATTGTATAAAGACTATTTATTTAAGATATTTACCTACGACCCTAAACTAGTTTTTCCTGTTCAGTTTTAGAATTAAATAGATTCACTTCCAGCAATGTTTATTTACCTAACCTTATTGTTGTTGTTTTTCTCTCAACACGAGTAACGGACATGATGTTCAGCGATTGGGTTTAAGCTTGTCATCCCTTTGTAAATTTTGAAGCACGTTTTTCATGTCTAGTTCATGTACGGTGACACTGGGTGCTAGTGTCGACAACATTTTGTTTCTATTATTTTAGGGTTAATTTCTTGATTTTTGCTTTACTGTTTGGTTATATAACTAGGAGACTAGTTATTGTTTATGATTAGATCGTATTATTTGGTTAAACAAGGTTTTAAATTACTGTAATAACTGGAAACAAATTGTAAACAAAACACAACCTCTACATAAACCGTACAGAACTAACAATAAAATTGTCTTCAGCTGTTGCATAAGGATGAGAAATCTATTTGGGGGAGTATGTTTTATCTATGGTTTAAGGTTATAAACGAAAACATAACCCCTCTTGCGTTTTAATACACTCGTAGAAGTTTTAAAGGCACTCGCCATAGCTCGTACATTAAATTTTCTACTCGTGTCTTAAAAACTATCTTTACGCAATCGTTGCGTAAACTACTATTCCATAATGTTTTCCCGTGGTGTTGCAGGCAACAAAACGACGGTCCGAAGCCACTACAGGGGTCACAAAATGTCGTTGTGGCTCAACCTAATCCCTCAGTTGCATCAGCCTGGTCTAGAGGAGCTAAGTATGAGACATCATCACTTCCAGGAGGAAGGCGCGCAGTACTACGACGGTCAGTATAATATCATTGACGAATATTGCGTTTAAGTGTTGAAATATATACAACAATACATTAAATTATGCACAGATACTCATGCACTGATAAAATATAGAGTGCCAAAAAAATATATTGATCCAATGTTTTCATAATAATTAGTATCGGACGCTGAGTGTTTGTTTGGGTGAAATAATTTTTAGTCAGCATTTTTTTTTTTTTCAGACATAAATTTATGATAAACATCAAACAAAATATTCAAAATTAATTATAAACAATGTTTAAAGTTTTAACGTTCAATAATTTGTTTGACAAATACAAAATGTAAAAATGTATTTGTTTTGGAAGTTTTTATATATAGTTTCTCACTATGTAATCTCAAGAGTGATGTAAAATATTGATCATAAACAGTATTTGGTTATCTAAAATATTCTTGTTTTTAACCCCCCCCCCCTCCAAAAAAAATTTCTTGATCTTCGACAGTAAAAAATAAACCTTATAATAAATGTTCTGTATTATTAACCGATAAATCAACAAAATAAACTGTTACAGGATCTGTGAGACCTCAGACACTACAAAGGCCGAGTCTTCCCACAACAACAACCTCGACTACGTCAGCGCCGCAAGTGGTGACCACAAAAACTACCTCAACAACACGGAGGTCAGACCAAACAACAGAGTGTCCGCCCAACACCACGACAGCAACAACCCTGGAGTCTCGACCTAACAACAACAACCTGTTGAGGAAACTAGCGTCCAGTCATTATCAGAGCTACACGACTGCACTTACTGTAACCATCGCAGTAGGCTGCTTCTTGCTGCTGCTCAACGTGCTCATATTCGCTGGCATATACCACCAGCGGGATCGGTCCTCCCAGGAGAAGAAGAAGAAGAAGAAGGAGGAACAGGAAGTGAACAGTTGTTCGAGCAGTTCAGGGGATGTAGAGGGAAAACACGCTCTGGTGGAGATGACGTCATCCAGCACGATGGTGGACCTTCCTCTACAAGAGTTTAAGTCCTCTCCGCCTCGGAGGGGGTCCAACTGCCCCCCTCTGTACTGCGACCCCCCGGAAGTGACGAGTCCAAGTATCCCAGAACCCCCTCCCCCACCCAAAGCTCAACCACCCCTGTGTAACCAGTCCGGCATCCTTAGACAACAAGGGTGTCCACAGACTCCTAGTACTATGAAAAAACGTGTTCAAATCCAGGAGATATCGGTGTGACTCCGTAACGAATCGTTTAACTCGGTTGTAAGATGTTTATAATTTTACTTATCGATTGTTATTATTGGAGTATTTTATCCGTGTTACTATGCAAATTCGCTTCGACGATTTCTAGGAATAACTCAGTGCATAGGAATTGATACTACTAAATCTAGGCATATCTTAAGTGATGGGAGGCTAGAGTTTTGAATGTTTCTAAATTCTCGTCGGAGCGTGCGATATGTGAGTCAGGACTCGATCCTGCGATGTTACCCTAGTTGTAAGTTGTAAATAATGTATATTTGTACTTGTTTCATTTTATAGCTTACATTTACAGTTCGCACGTTCCATTTAGTTCTGAGACGTTAAAAATGTATTACTGACTGTAAACTTAAACTTAAATGACTGGTTTGTTTTATAAATTGTAAACATACAATCAAAGTTTGTTAATTAATTGATGATGAATTTTTGTTGAGATTATAAAACTCTATTGCCAAAACTTTCATTTTACGAGAAATACGAAAATGCGTTTATAATGTGGCGTTTCTGCTGCGACTATGTTTTATGTCAGGAGTTTCTTGGTTATAAAGGTTTAACAGTATTAATAAAAAAACTATATTTATGAAAAGTCGTGACTTTTGCTCATATTTCCTATACTCTGTGCTTGGACTAGGTTTACTTGTTTTCATTAAATATTTATTTCGGTTGTTTGAAATTATATATAATATTTAGTGAGACGAAGATACTACTTTCTTTTCTTGTAATAATGACAAAATAGTAATCTAGGTTTGGCGAACAAAGTTACAAATTATTAGCTTTTCGTCTGCATTTTATCAACTGATTTAGCTTTAGCTTGAAATTAAATCCGACAAATTTTTATTTCAACACTTGTAAAATTTCAACATTTGCCAAGAAGGTTTAGCTTTACAAGGCAATAACTTAATATATTACATTATTTTATATGGAGGTTATTACAATTATAGAACACTCCGTGCCAAATATTATCCAACGTTATATCTTTACAGTAAAAAAAAAAAAATAACAAAGGCATCAAAACATACGTTATTCGTACTTAATTATCTTATTAATTAATTTATTTCAAACAGATGACTCAAAATACAATCATACATAGAGTGACAGAGTAATGGCGGAAGGAATACTGGCTTGAAACAACAATTAACTCATATAACAGTAAAAATTACAAGATATTTATCCTACTAATACTATAAATGAGAAAGTTTGGATGTATGGATGTATATTTGTGACAAGTAAACGCGAAAAATACTGGTCGGATTGGGCTGAAATTTCGTATGATGATAGCTCACATTCCCGATTAACATATAGACGCATTCTTATCTCAAAAATCCTAGTGGCTCTGGAGTTTCCCATGTTAACCTTATGAGCAATCATATTTTAAAAGGAATAAAAGAATTTTGTCAGCTGTTTCAACTACACAAGTTGGTTCTATGATATTTAATAGCATTAAAAAGTTACAAAGTTTACCAACAGGGTGCAGTACTACATATTATTTTTTCTACATTTATGACATCTATCCTATAAAGGCCACAAAGGTTAAATTATGTTTTTAAAAGGCTTATGTGTAACTATTTTATCAACAGATGTAAAGATCAAAATGTTTCTATTTCGTGTTCTCTTCCCGTTGCAAAGCACGGGTACAACAGCTTATGATAAATATCAAAAGCAATATATAAAAAAAATCAGACAGGTAACATGAATTACCATGATTCAGAGTGCAAAAAAGACTCATGTTGACGAAGATAAGAAATAGTATTGGATTAGATTATTAATCTGGTGCTGACTTAATTGAATCAATAATCGTTGTGAGCTGATGACGCCAATTGTTATAATAAGGAGCACGAAGATCTCAAGGATCGAGAAGGCATTATGCTGTTTGAGTATCACATGCATCTGACATATGTCAAGGAGAAGCTTACAAGTAGTGAGCTAAATATCATCTGAGCCATCTGTTGTAGTATAAAATATATTTATTATATATATTTTATTTTTTACAATACCTTTATTTATATTTTACTCACATTTATTATTTAGTTGTATTTTATTGAGAGTGAATAAAATATTGTTTCGGTGTGACAGAATTAGGGATGTGTTAGCCATGACTAATTATTTTTGCTTTGTTCTTATTATTTTTGCTGATACTAAAACTAGGATTTTAAAACTAGTTATGACGGTAAAATGTCAGTAAAACAATGTTTTGTTAAATTATTTATGTTGAAACAATCTTTAAAATAAAAATCTACATCGATGTGTGCTTTTTGTTGAAGAAAGCCGCATAAAGGAAAATGGTGGACGTTTGTGGAATGAGATATACTGAGGTTGCAATAGATAATTTTCAAGGAATAGTTTGGCAACCTACCAAAATAATACATTGCCAAAACGCTTCTGCAGCATTAAGGATATAATTCAAATGTAAGCATTCTCGTGGTATTATGCTTACTATTGTAATATTATTTCAAAATCTGAAAAGGTATGTTTTTAGATGTAGAGCAGGTAATACTTGGAGCGGAAATCAATAATACAAAGATGAGACTCAATGTTCATTGATTGAAGTGTATACCTTATGTGCTGTAGTTTCAAACTAGCAAAACAATGAGACACGATAAAATTTGATAAGCAGTATATGTGTAATCCATAAAAGTATCATGTTACAATTAATATGATACTTTGTCAAATGTTACAATTGCCACTTTGAGTAGTACACTTTTCTAAATGTTTATAGATTTATGACATCTTTCTTATACTAAAGTAGCTGATGTACCCGTGCTTCGCAATGGGAAGATGTACTATACCACCTAATCCAAACACTTGTCAAGTTAGTTTCAATTCATAAATAAAAAGCCACCAAGTTTATACAAAAAATTACCTACATGTAATTGTCCTACTATTGACTTATTATTACTTGATTTATTATGAAAATATATCAATAACAATATTTTCATTACTTAGACACTTAAATAAATCAAAAGCAGAGCCTGTGTTGATACAGCAACGGTTATAGAGTCTTTTAAATTTTCATATTCAAAGACATAATTTAAGATAAATAATCAGTAACAAAGATTTAGAATAAATAAACCCACCATAGTTGAGTCAAATATTATATTTATTTTTTTAATCATCTGTCTAAAATGTTAAAGGAAGCATTTGGAAGTTCTGCTTGTTTACTTTGAAATGTCAACGCAAAGATAAACAATGTGAATTTTCTCATGATTCCATGGAGACACATTATTGATATTTACTTTTGAAAACTTCACCTCAAAACTCTAGTCGTCCAAGGGGCGTAGCCCGAGAGGAACTAAGGGAAGTAAATAGGCCTATTACGTTCCTAGGTATGTGCACCATCTTTGTGCTTACTTTTGGCTGTACAGGTTTAGGATTTTAGTCGTGAGCCACAGCCGCCCAGACAGGCAGACAGACAGAGACCACTTCAATTTTATAATAGTATAGATATTATAATGGAGTAAACTGACTATACTAAGTATAGTACTGACTTAGTATTCATTTACAAAGTTACATCATATTCAGTATTTAAAGAAATAAGCTAACTCTTTAATCCACCCAACAAATACTGTTCAATACGATGTATCAAAATCTTGAATGAAATATGTCTCACTTGCCTCTCTTTTAAGGACATGGTAATTCAAGAAGAAATGATTTATTTTATGCACTGCTATTCTCAAGAGCGTTAAGTCCTTTTAAATACATAATTTATAGCCATTTATCAAAATTAAATTACGAAAGAACAAAGTGTATGCCCTAAATATGTTAGTTGTTGAAGTACGGGGTTTTCCATAAAAACTTAGAGCAAACTTAGATTCAATTTTAAATAATTCATCTGCCAATTATTTTAATTCTTTATTACTAAATATTTAGGTATTTCCTATCGCATATAAATTTTTTTTCAAATTTGTTAAACATCCTCTTGCATGTAAAGGACAGGCACACCTTAAAAATATGACTAGTAAAAATCTATGTTGCTTTTATTCCAGAAATATTCCGACGGAAACGTTTATGTCATTTTATATTAAACCACTTACTAACGCGATATTTCGTTTTCTTACAGTTGTTTAGCTGAATTAGTTAAATATTTTAAAAAGTTGGTCATTTTAACAACCAAAACTTAGTGTTATCTGCATGGTAAGCAATAAAAGTTCAAATTGAAAGTTTACATATTTTCTATGGCATACAATAAGAAACAATAAGGGTTGCGTTTTTTCATTCCGAATTACCCGAAAGATATTGTTAGAAATTATCTAATTGTTATGCTAATGCCTAATATAAGATAACACTAGAATACTACTATTATTATGATTTCCAAGATTATATCAATACAATATACGTTGTGTAAAAAAATCGAGAGATTTTCCATCTATTAAAGTTATCACTTAACTAATCATCAAACATAAAATAATTATCCTACATTGTATCAATTAAAGGAAATACATTTATGAGTAATCATAGCTCTAAAGCTACGACTTAAGTATACATATCAAGAAAATTTATTTGTTGACAGAAAACACAATTAACTAAATGCGCGCTATCACGTTTAATGAATGATGCTCATAGTGAAGCGATTCATCAAAGTATCTTAGTGTTGAACCGGGTCCACTGTTCACTGTTCAGCCAAACACAATTAGTTAGTGTCACAGTAAATTTGCCATCAAATACTCCATCAATACAACACTTGTACATCAAAGTCCGGCTCTACAATGCTATGTAGTTACACCTGTTGTGAACGTCATAGGAGTGACCGATTTTGACTTGCAAATGGACCAACTGATCAAAGTGAATAGTTTGGCAAAGCATTTCTTTAAATTACTTTTATTAGAATAAATGTTTTGTTTGATTTGTGAGAGCTTACATATTATGGAACTTTGGCCAAGCTTTATAGTTTATCAACGAGGTATCTACAAAATATCTGTGAAAGAACTATTAACTATTCCATAATTATATACATCAAACCTACCTTTTGTCTTGAAGTAACAAGGATAAGATGCAAACGTTCAAAGGATTGAGGCACTAAAGATTATCAGTGCAAACTATAGCATCCAATCCAAAATTAAATATTATGTATGAATGACAACCTTTTCAAGAAGTATGTAAAATGGATTAGTCAATATATAAGATTTTACCATTATTGGCATCGAAAGGGTTTTAACATTACTTTCAACAAGGAATATGAGAACGTCATTTAAGCTTGTTCTTACTTTATTGACCCTACAACAGCCAAGAGGAAATCTCTATTTGCCGGACTTTTTGGCAAACTCCACTGAAAAGTTGGTTCCCGAGTATAAAGAGCAAGTTTTATACATAGCTATTTATTATGTAGTTAGTAAACATAATTTTTGATATTATTATTATTCATTTTGACCCTTGTTAGGCCTATCCAACCACAGTTGTTGTTAATATGAAAACTTAAGTTATGCTGATCATTTAATTTAGAATTCACACAACTCCACATCTATTGATATGAACATGGAAATAGTTTAAGTATTACTAAACAGTTTTAAGCTTGATGTTAAAGAAATATTCACTATCTACAAAGGTAAAAAACTC